ACCGCCACTTTGAACAATATTTCTGTTATATCAGTGTATGTCAGCTTAATGTGGAGGTACAAAGGGAGACATGTGTACACATGTGAAATCTATCAGTGGATCCTGACACAGCTAAGGGATGCAACTCTGCAAAGTAAATGGTGGCACCTGACACTTGAAAGGGCCACACATGCCACTCTCAGAGTCACGTAATTTCCATTTGGGACCTTTAGTCAGTCGTCTTTTTCAGCTTAGTAATAAGAAATGTGAGTAGCAGACTACAAGTTGGCACTAAACTGGGATTAAAATCCATGATCCGTGGATCCTGACACAGTTAAGGGATGCAACTCTGCAAAGTAAATTGTGGTGCCTGACACCACTGGGCCACTCTCAAAGTCACGTAATTTCCATTTGGGACCTTCAGTCCGTAGTCTTTTTCAGCTTAGTAAAAAACAAATTGCAAGTAGCGGACAAGATGTCAAATTGAATCTAAAATGTGAAATCATGTGCGAATGCAGATTGTCAGTCTGTCTAAAGAAAACATGGAGACAGCTGGTTCTGCTTTCGTTCTTTACTGCTGTTCCTTTGTGAAAATACTAAACACTGTCTGGCGTCATATCTAGCAAACGCAACTTTTACAAGAATTGAGCACGACTTTCATAAACAGTGAAGTTTTAATTTACACTAAGGTTTTTTTATTGACATTTAACGCTAATCTTTACGTCAAAATATTTGACCCATCTTTCGTTTACACAAGTATTTAAAAGTTCTTTTATGCTAAATAGTACACCCCATCAGAACCCCCCTAGCAAATGACATGCTCTCCGTCAGCATGACAACACAAAGTGTAACTACAGCAGTAGTTACCAAAACAACAACAGCGATCTGCTCTAGTTCCAATACAGATGAAGTCAAAGGATTACGTCTATGGAGACGACACTTACAATTGTTGTACCTGCCAATTACCTAACTATTAGCCTCCCGAACAATGCATACATAGACTACAGATAGTATCAGAGGCTATTCTAAGAGCTTGCTTATCCTTGAGATTGAAATGAGTCTGACGTGACGCCATGCACCAGGAGTGCCGTGGCAAATTGGACGAGATGCGAAGTGTGTCAACATCGTTTGGGCATTGATGTCAGGAGGGTTTAATATGTTGTAGAACAGCTCAGACAAATAGGACTTAGTGCTGAGTGGCTAGACATCAATAAGACAAACTTACAGTCCTGACCCAAAGACTGATACCATCAGTTTCTTGTCCCCCTCACCCTGGGTAGCTTAGTGACCATATTGTGTGCCGACTCCATGTTGTCTGTCCTCCATTCTTCAACACTTGAAGTTGTGAAGCTTATCAAGACTTTTGCTGGTGACTGACAGGCTTTGATCACAGATGTCCGTGTTTTTGTTGCTTACCACTGCACTGCTCTTTGTTTAAATCATAATTTCTAGATTATGTAAATAATAAGAACAAGTTGTCCCTAGAGTCCTTAGATGTCCACATATCTAGACTTGCCTATTAGGAGGATAGAATTACAACACATCCATAGACTAATCTTTCAGTACAGCTTTGGAGCAAGGCTATACTGCACTCAGCAATATTCCATCCAAATCACTGTAGTCTTTAAATAGTCAAGTCTGGACAAGACAAGTGATTGATATTGTTAGCCAACTCCAACGGAATATGGTGACATGCAATCAGACAAGTCAGGTATCCTGCTCCATTTAGTACAATGGACATTATGGACAACAAGCATAGGTTCTGAAAGTTCGGTCCTAGCCCAGTTCAGAGACAGTGAGGGGGGTAAGGGTGATCCATTCATCATCCCGAGGCAAGGGAGTAAACTGACTGTAATAGTCCAGTTTCCATCCTTGCTGAAATAGGCTGGAATTTCTGGGCTGGGGTCGTAGCGCCACCAGTGGCTATTACAAATCCCTTCTATGTCTCTCCTACTGACCAATCAGATTCCTCCTCTCATATCACTTGCATTTGCTTCAAACAAAATGACGATGCCCAGTAAACACGATCTGGTCGATAATCAAAATCTATATTGAGATAAAACTGTGCGAAGAGCATCAAATCATGTGAGCACCTTGATTAATATAAACATAAAAAGATTTAGAAAATGTCTGTTGGCGGCACACATGCTTTTCAAATCCCGCAATAGACCCAAATCTGCCTGGCAGTTTACGAACCAGATGTCGATTTCATTACGTAATTTTTATTGGACTATGCATAGACTTGTTAGTCTAGCCAAAATATAAACTCCATAATTCCAGCCTAGTTCAGCAAGGGTGGAAAGTGGACTTTTATATACAGTCCCTTGCCTCAGGAAGATGGATCCACTAAGCTAAAGGCACCTAAATTCAATGCACAGAGTTGCATCCCTTACATGTGCCAGGATCAGCTGATGTGGATTTGAATCCCAAGATTTGTGCCCCAAGATTTGTCCTGATTGTTCTTGGTTTGTCTGCACATAATTGCGACCTGTTTCAGTTTGGATTTTCCTTGCACATGGATCAGACACGTCATGATATATCCTTCTCGTTCTCTTAAAGTATAGAAACTGTAGAAAAAGTCTTTTTAATTCAGCTTTAGTGTTTTTGTTATAAAAAAAATCCAGTAATATGGCTGTTATTACCTAATTACATTGTGTATTCAACGAACAGATTCCAACATGCCATCAGTATAAAATAGGTTCAGGAGGAAGCACTAATCAGATCATAAAATAATAAATCAGTTCATAATGCGCCTCCTATCCAATCATCAAATAGTTGCTGACGGCTCTACGTTCACACACACAAGAAACAAAAAAATACATAAAAGCACTTATTCATGTGGAGTGCTGGAGATTTAGTTCGCCTTAAACACACTTATAATCAGACAGCAGACTAGAGTATGTTATATATAAAACTAGACATGGTATTTCAGGAACAAGAATGTGTTCGGTCTTGACTGAAAGCTGCTTAGCGTGCAATCAATGAATAATGTTATAATTACACTCAAGGTCAAACAATGGCAAATGAAAATAATCCTTTAATTGCAACAATCCAATTTTTATCAGTAAACTAAATAATGCAAGATCACTCAAGCGAACGTGGCGAAAAAACTCTGAAAAGAAAAATGTAACATAGAGCTTAAGCAGTGTCTCTTGGGAGGGTGCGACTTTTATGTCATTATCTTTAAACAACTCCTGGCATCAGGCAACCCTGTAGGGAGCTGACCTGTTTCCTCACCCTAACAGAGCGACCCCCCATTTGCACTCTGGTGATGAAGTGCCTCCGATCTACATGAATCTTGTGTCATGCACATGGTCCATTTATTCACAGTCACGATTCAAATCACACAATACCCTACATTAAGTTAAGTGAAGAACTTTTTTTATACAATTGCAGAAAGGAAAAGAACATCAATGTACAGTTTTTAAGTTATATGTAGTTTTCTAGAAACCATGTCTAATTTAATGAATTAATTTTGTTAATGGAAAATACAGAATGCCTTTGACAGATATTCCTCGAAATATTTAAAATGATGACATGATCATTAGTAATTGTGTTTCTGTGAATCACTAACATCAATAGTTTGTTTGTGTGTACTTTCAGTAAATAAATCTGGTTTTAAAGTCGAAGTCTTCATTTATCAGCAACATATTAGGGATTACATTTTTTGGCTTCATTTACAGATCTGCTGACCATAAAAACTGAAAATTTAGAAGAAAAAAATCAAATCAAACTGACGAGGTTTTTTTTATACCGCCAATGGTAAAGATCACTGTGACAATAAAAATATTTTAAGGGACTTTTTAGGATTAAAAAAAATGAAATCCAAACATAAATCATCATTACAAGTCAGATTAAAGATTTAATATATATAAAAAACCCAAACCAGGCCAAGATGTTTTTAAACACCTACCAATCTTAATCAAACTACTTTCAGATGATTAAATCCTGCACAAAGCATTTGTGTCCCCACCTACCAAGCAAAATTTTTTCCTTCAAAATCAGTAAACCTGCATCAACAATACATGCTATCTGTGGACAATAGTGTACACTCAGCCAGGCCATGCATGGTGATCACATATCTCTTACAACAAGCATGGCATCTGATGTCTGTTCTTCCCTGGAATCCCAACAAGCTTGTATTTGTTTGTTTGCTCTACACTTCAGTCAGCAATATTACAACTATATCAAGCTGGCCTCTAAATAATCAATCCTTTGCCTGAAAAGACGGTCATTGATAGTTTGAACAACATCCCACACCCCAGGGTACGATCGCAATACACAACCAACTGAACAAAGACAGACCACCAGTGCCGGTTTAGTTGTGACATTAGAGTACCAGGGCCCAATTCTACTGAGGTTGGTTTAACACCACTTTTAATGGTACCGTATTCGACGTAATAAGCACACCGCTCTAATAAGCGCCCACGGCGATATTTGTTAATATATTGGCTAGTGAACAATCGCTATTAGCACCCCTTCCGATTGATCAACGTGCACAAGACTTATTTATTCGTGTATAATACGTGTTATATGCATTCTTAATTATAGGAAATTAAATTCTGGAAAAATATATCTGTTGTATATAAACATTTCAGGTCGTCAGCATAAACCACGAAATTTACGATCTTTCAAATCTGTTGTTTTTCACCAAAATAATATTCTGATAAGAGCCCCCTATTTCTAATTTTGAGCGCGCCCTGGGTGCTTATTATGTCGAATACGGTATTTCAGTCCTATCAGCTTTTGTTCGAGGAAAGCCCAAAGTGATATAGGTATTAAACATTTACCACTTCAGTGAAATCCATGAGAAGGTGTTGAGACACCAAGAATCATTATCAGTCATGAATCATTATCAGGTTGAATCCAGGATTCAAGCCCATCAACATCGGTGTGGAACCCACAAACCTGGGTATGGTGCTGACAAACAGGACCTATTCTCATCAGGGGTAATATAAGTGAAGCTCTTGTAACAACGTTGTACATCCAAGTATGTGTTTAACATTATAAGAGGAACTTACCTTCAACCCGCACTGTAATATTGTCAGAGCCCTTTGCATTGGACGCCAGGCAGACATAGTTTCCTTCGTCTCTCTCTGATGCTTTGAAAATTTGTAAGCGTGATGATCTCCTGAGAACAAATTCAGAAGGTGTGACATAGCAAACAACATATTTTTCAGATTTTGATGTTTCATAAATTTAATAAAATCATATTTATTCAAACCTCATAAAATCTATCATAAAAAATACAAACTCTCTTACCATCTTTCAAAAAAGAAGCAATTTCTGTATACAACCTCACGATTTATGTATTTTAAAAACATGAAACAAATCATAATTAATAATCTATTTAAAATAAATTCCATCATTCTAAGCGAACAAAATGTGCAATATTTTGAAAAAAATATTTTCTTTTGATAAATAAGTTTTCTCCCTTTAACTCTTACCTAAGAAATGTACATACAGCCATCATATGAAATATCATTATGCCATAATGGCAAATGTAAAGAAAACAGATATATATTATGATACTGTTTGCAAAACCTCAGCCAGTTTACAGTTTTCCTACAACCAAGACATTTCCACCTTCAGAAAATATATACTCCCAGCGAATGCCATGACATAAACTTTGGAACTTGAAACGCAATTTATTGCAATGGCCATATTACTATTCAACACATAACAACATGCCCTTCCCCTTCCCCATGTGTTAGCAACATTGTATCATGTCAATTGACCACATGTGTTTAGACTACAGAACTTGCACTTTCCCAGTGTGTCTTCCCCTTTATTGCATATGCAAAACATACCATTCATCCTTATGTGATTCCTCGAAAACACCACGACTTGGATCTGGCTGAATTCCAAAGAGGTAAAACACACTGTGATAAGATTTTATCTTCAGGGCTTTCACTGATGTTGTAACACATCATTTTATTGCCTTTGATTTTATCTTTGCAACAGACTGGAATTTGTTATTTGTAAATTACCTCCTAAAAATTTCAACACAGTGCAAGCTGGATAAAAAAGAACAAGAAAGTAAACGCTGTTTTAACATATCTCGGACAAACTCCAGAACCAGAGGGCAAAATCCCTGAAGAGATGCTTGTCTTCTGTGCTGTATAATTACTTGTGCTTAAGGCTGACATTTAAAAAAATGACACTGATTCTCTTGATATGATCTTACAATAGCTATACAATCTTCAAAGATATCACTTTATATCTAAGAATCTCTTATTACAAATTAGTCATCATGTATGCAGATTTGATTTGTTTTACAACAGCCCAAGAAACGTAAGTGAGGTGAGGTGAAATGGGGTTTAATGTCGCGTCCAAGATTATTGCACTTATATAGCGACGTGCATGTACGTGTTTGTGTGGCTGCTTGTACTAGTTCGGACTGATGCCGATTTATAGTGCTAGCTCACTGAGATACCATGCCGCAGTTTAACATGAATACCTCACTCAGACACAGTATACTGACTCCGAGCCGACCAGTCCTTGTTTTAGCCCCTTAATGCCGAGCGCCAGACAGGTTAACAACAAGTACCATCTTTTAACATCTTTTGGTATGACGTGGCCGGGGATCGAACCCCGGACCTTCCACTCTCTAGGCGGACGCTCTACCACTAGACCACGGAGGAGGTCAGAAACATAAGTATTTCCAGATGGATTAATCTGACAAGAAAACAGGGATATTATTCATGGATGGTGGCCGTATCTTGTCGAAATACAATTCCGTAATTATGTGTTTTGGAAGCAAAGAAGTCAACAACACACACAGTGAAAAAATAAACACAAACACACAAGAAAAAAATGTAAAACATACAGTATGCATTCTAGCGCAGAAGTTTATTATTCCAATTGTTTTGAAACCATGGAAATTAATATTCTTTATTAGTTTCCATATTTCAATTTAGATTTTCATACAACATAGCTTTTATCAAGTGGTTACTGTATTTTATTTAGAAATGCTTAAGACTAATTCATTATTTTTTCATTCTGCTCAAGAGTAAGGAGTCTGTAGACAAATTCGTCCTTAAAAACATATAGGGACATAAGGCTCTGTAGCTTACCTTCATTCTCTGTTTCGTATTAGCAACAACCTAAATTATTTCAAATCATATCACGAAAGGTAAAAATATTTCACAGTGATGCTTTCACTGCAACCATTAAATTCATAGCTGAATTCTATCAGCAATTATTGGAGATTTTAGGGTCATACACACAAAATGTGAGCTTTGTCTACACAGTTGTATCAAAACAGATGTCAAATATACAGTATGAGTAGAGTTTGGAGGGTTATGTGTTGGTACAAAAGATATTACGATAGGGTAAAAAAACTAATGACTATCAACATGTTAGTTTGCATGTGGAACATGCTTATTGGACATCAACTTTCACAATGACACGTAAACAAATGGATCGAGAGATAAGGCCTTTGTCTTCTTGTGACGCATGGTGTGAAGTTATATTTGTCACATAGGTAAACTACGAGCTTAAAAAAGTAATGTGTACCTTGTTAAAAAATAACTGCGAAAATATACTACCAAAAAGAAGTTAAGGAACACCCAATTATTTCTATAGTTAATCTGTCGTGGTATGACACCAAATTCTTACATATTACTATAGTTAATCTGTCATGGCACCCGTGAAGATCCGGGGAAGAATAGGTCTTCAGGAACCCATGCTTGCCGTACTGTGCTTGTTTAAAGAAGTAACTAACGGGATCGGGTGGTCAGGCTCGCTGACTTGGTTGATGCATGTCATCAAATCCCATTTGCGTCGATCGATGCTCAAGATGTCAACCACTGGATTGTCTGGTCTAGACTCGATTATTTACAGACCGCTGTCATATAGCAGGAATATTGCTGAGTGCGGCGATAACAAATAAACAAACAAACAAAAATGGCACAACTACAGACATAGGAAAGAATTTGGTGTTTTTCATTTAGGCTGGCTTGTAATAATCAATTTCTTAAAGCCTAAACATATTTTATTTTTTATCAAACAATTCAAAGCATATGTTATGATGTCAATTTTAAAAGCATCCGAAGGTTCCACGGTGATATCTACCAGTAACACAATCCTAGTCCCTGCCATCTCTACACAGTACAGTCTGATACACTCTGTAACATGAACAAGCAAGCTAGTGACAGTCCATTTGCCTTCCTGGAACAAATTCAAAACTAACGACTTTGACATTCTCGTGTTTAATGAAGGGTAACTCTCTTCTGTGATCAGCTATGTTTGTGTTGTGTTGAAAACCTTTGCCAAAAAAATGAGTTGGAATCTCAGACAAAAACTCTGGAGCTCTCATAAACAAGAAAATTTTCCACCTGATGACAGAGTATGACCAAGAAAGAATTTAAACTCTGGTGCTGACAACCGACATGACTTCATACAAAGCACAAAAAACTTCTCATACACTCATACATTCATTATCTCTGAAAACTCCTAAGTATTAAGAGGACAATACACCTGTAAAGTGAGGACATAATATAACATCTGAAATAGCTGTCTGTCTGTTATCCAATAGCCAGTTATGAGTAAATAACATGACATTCAAATATTTATGTTTATCATCCAAAACTGGCTCCCACAGGAGATATGGCTTGGATGAGATCAAGCCATATCTACACTGTAGATATCTCTGCAATGAAATTACATCACAATGCTTTGCAGACCATTGTGACATCACTGGTTACCATGACGTCACAATCAAATGACATCACTAATGGCTCTGCTACTGAAGCTGTTAGCAGTACTTTTTACACTGAAGACACTGCTAATTACTGTCTACAAATTGTAAAAGTTGGAAGAATGATGTTGGATGATAAATAAAATCCCTCCCTCGTGTCTTCTGATATCAAATATATCAACACTCGTTGATAAAAGTGGCAAAAATCCTCGGCAAGCCTAGGAATTTTTCTACTTTTATCAACTCGTGTTGATATATTTGATATCAAATGACACTCGGGTGAGAATCTCTATTTAATACTGACTCTCCCCTTGTCTCCAACCCTGAATAACCCAACATTGGTCGTACGTAGCGTCCATGTTGAAACATAAATAAAGTATTGAACACAAAGCACTTACCTTTTATCCTGTATTCGTAATGTTCCTGATTTTTCTTTTAAAGGATGTCCATCTTTAAACCACTGAAATTTTGGGTTTGGCTTTGCTTTTGCCGAACATTTTAACCTTAGTGTTTCTCCTTCTTCAATCCGCCGATTTCTTATTTTTCTTATTGCTGGTGCTTTTGCTGCAAATAAAGAAAACCATAATTAACATAAATGGTGAATGATATTCATATCTAATACCAAATAGTGAGGGTCACTGTCACAAATACAAGGGCATCATTTTCTGCCTAAAGAGTCAGAAGATCTTTAAAGGGAAATAACTCTAAAAGGGGTAAGCTAGGCTGAACAAAGTTGTCCACCAGTAACCAATGCCTGGTGTTTCTGGGTTTCCCTGCAATCTGTGTTTGTTGGAAGAGACAACTAAGAGGTGAATGGGTGGGATTGCAGTGTGTGACCTGGCTATGTGTCACTGCATCCCAGTGGCGGAGATAATTGCATATGTTATCAACCATGGTTTAAGGTTAGGGCCTCAGTTGATAACCTACACGTTGTAGTGACAGAGAGTGATATTGCTGCATACACCAAAGCTGTGTCAAGGATGAAAGATGTAAGTCAATTTAAAATACAAATATTTCAGCTGTTTCATAGGCATTCTGCAAGTTAGTGAGTAAATAGGAAAGTATTTAACTTTAAGGATAATAAGTTTCGCTTTATTGCATTAGCGACATTTCGATGTAGATTCTTACACCATTCTGAAGCTGGAGGTCATTCCAGTTTGAGAACGGTGTAAGAATCTACAACGAAACGATGCTAATACAATAAACCAGACGATGTTATCCATAAAGTATGTTTTCTTAAGAATATTTCAAATTACTCTTTTTACTTTTGCATAGAGCATCACACATTATATAAATGGCCTCAGTAGACACATGTGGCAGATTAAGTAGGGTTATACACACACATTTAGCAATAACACATGCCATTCATTGCTTGGGAAACCAAGCAGGTGTAGAACAGAACTCAAATCTTCTCACTGACAAACTAGCACATTAACCACTAGGCCACTTATGTTATTAAAGACGTAATGATGTACAATGATGTAGATTGTATCAACATTTAATTCGGCTGTACAGAGTCTACAAGATCCATGTGGTTTATAATTGAAATTGACAACCATTGTTGCAAGTGATAATACATTTCTCTGGCTCATCATCCAACTGAAATTGACACCGTTTTTATCAAAGGAGAAACATTTGCAAATAATCAATAAAAACCTTTTGATGGCTTCCCATGCCACTCATGCAGTAAGAAATGCCAAGCCAACAATCATGTGACAGGCTAAATCAATATCAGTAGTAATACATTCTTGGGGGTGGCATTGGCAGTTCACCCTGCTGCACTGTTCTGGGAGGTCACCATCTCCTAACAGCTCAATCCTAGGGCCGTATGAAAGAAGAGAGCATGTGTTTTTCAAGGAGGTCACTGGTATCCTAACAGAGCCAAATCTCAGGGACTCTCATGGAAGTAGAGAGCAACTGTTCTTATAGGCAATTGTTCTCAAAGGAGGTCACCAGTCGCCTAATAGAGCTCAATCAAGGCAGTCAAATGGAAGTAGAGAGCAACTGTTCTTATAGGCATGTGTTCTTAAAGGAGGTCACCAGTCTCCTAATAGAGCTCAAACCAAGGCAGTCAAATGGAAGTAGAGAGCAACTGTTCTTATAGGCATGTGTTCTTAAAGGAGGTCACCAGTCTCCTAATAGAGCTCAAACCAAGGCAGTCAAATGGAAGTAGAGAGCAACTGTTCTTATAGGCACGTGTTCTTTAAGGAGGTCACCAGTCTCCTAATAGAGCTCAAACCAAGGCAGTCAAATGGAAGTAGAGAGCAACTGTTCTTATAGGCAATTGTTCTTAAAGGAGGTCACCAGTCTCTTAATTGAGCTCAAATCAAGGCAGTCAAATGGGAAGTAGAGAGCAACTGTTCGTAAAGGCATATGTTCTTAAAGGAGGTCACCAGTCTCCTAATAGAGCTCAATCCCAGGGACAATTCTTGCAGAAGAGAGCAAGAGTTCTCCAAGGCGGTCACCAGTCTTCTAGCAGAACATAATCCTTGGAAGAAGAGATAAAAAAAGTGTTGATGGTCCAATTACCAAATCACGTCTTTAATGACTTCTTATGACATAGGACTCAGCCAAACTCCGAGAACAAATACAATTTACAAAAACAGCCTGCCTAATGACATGAAATGTACAGCCATGTTATTGGATCAATATAATCATTTCCGGCCTCATCTTAGAAATAAATCCTTACAAGGTCAGCAAGTGTTTTTCATAGTCTGATATGATGATTTTTTTAAACATTTTGTTGAAAGAAACATTAATCTTTCAGTTTAGTTATCCTGGCTTATCCGAAGCTTGAGCCGCATGTCACACACGATTACAGAAGTATCGATGTACAATCTGACATGATCAAGACCTGAGTGTATCCTGATTCTCATCACTACTGGAACCTTTTGCAGATAGATAACATGTGCAGACATTGGCTGTCAGTGACTTGGCACATTAGGTGAGTGCTTGATTATATGCACCAGAACCCTATTCTCTGAGTGGGGCTGTTGATAGTGCTTCATTTGGTTTTATATTAGCATTCTATCACAAGGCCTTCCTAACGCTTCAAAGAGTCACAGCAGTATTGTTCAACTGTGTAATATAACTTATTGGTCAGTGAACAAAGAAAACCTCATTGCCCTTAATGTTTATTGGCATCAAATGACCACATTGATTATTCCAAGAAAAAAGGATTAATCAATCAAGTTGAAAGGAAAATCCCAATTGCTTTGAAATACTTCTTCTTGAGACAGAATTTAAAAAACACTAAACCTTTCGAAACTACAACCCTTCTCACACATACTGATCTCAACTCCAAAGATTCATTTCTTTTCGTTTCCCTAAAGTGATCCTGTGTTTTCAGGCTGTTTTGACGTTCACCCACAAAGGAACAAGGTACGGAAGCCACAAACATGCAAACTGCTGGTCTCTAACAACCAGGGAAGCAGGCTTGTCCTGTGTGTTCCCCTTGAGGAGGTGAGGTGTACTCTGATAGTTTCCAGAATGGGGACAGTGTGGGACAGTTTGGTGGATGAGGTGAGTCAGTGATTATGAAGGATGAGTTCAGTGAATAAGGTTGATGGATGAGGTCAGTGAATGAGGTCAATGGATGAGGTCAAAGGATGAGGTCAGTGAATGAGGTCAATGAATAAGGTCGAAGTATGAGGTCAGTGAATGAGGTCAATGGATGAGGTTAGTGAATGAGGTCAGTGAATAAGGTCGAAGGATGAGGTCAGTGAATGAGGTCAATGGATGAGGTTAGTGAATGAGGTTGGTGAATGAGGTCAATGGATGAGGTCAGTGAATGAGGTCAGTGAATAAGGTCGAAGGATGAGGTCAATGAATGAGGTCAATGGATGAGGTCAGTGAATAAGGTCGAAGAAGTGAGGTCAGTGAATAAGCTCGAAGGATGAGTTCAGTGAATAAGGTCGAAGGATGGGGTTAGTGCTTAAGGTCGATGGATGAAGTAAGTGAATAAGGTTTATGAATGAGGTCAATGGATGAATAAAGTTATTGGCTGTATTGTCAGTACATAGACAACAAGTCAAGTGTACAGATGATACACTGTGTGTACAGGCACATGATACACACAAGGTGTAGACGTCTAACCATGGTGATATATCTGTTATACTACACACACCCAGTAATCACCTACTCAACAACACCTGATGACAATAAACACGTGGAAATCACATGCTGACCTACAGTCTCTTTGTCAATATGTGTATAAAAAAACCCATTATGTTGCCTTAAGCAATATCCTAATTTCCTTGCGAAACGTAAAAATGTTGGTTAGCCCTAAGGACAATGTACCAGCTCATCATGGACAGTCCTGATTCAAGTCTCCACATTGTTTGAAGCCTGCTGTCCAATACTCAAAAATCCTATAAGGGTATAAACACATACTCATTCAATTTACCTGTAAAGGGCACCACCAAACAAAAAAATTCCCAGATCAAAGCCTAGCCATGTCAGTAAGCATCTTCTGAGTCCCAGATATATCAATACAAGGACCACAGGAATGGGCTTCAAATCTCGGACCATTTGCGAAAATTGAACCAGATCTTCATCTTCATTATGATGAGCAAACAAAAAAAACCACACCCACTGTGCAACCTAACTGCTTCGTACCCCATCATCTTCAGATACTTCAACAAGTAAATTGCCAGGCAATCAATATCCTACACGTAATGGATCTACCCCCTCTTCTGAAACAGCCCATCAAATGGCATCTACATCATTCGCATCTGACTATTTACATGATTAACCATCACTAGGAATCAATGGCACTGGGTAAAACACCTATCTACTGGAGACATCGCCAAGAAAGGGATAGTCTCATCCACAAAGCATACTTTTGTTATCTCGCGAAGATGCAGTCAGCCATGTTGGTACAGTTTGCAGAACATCTTGGCCAGCATGCCTTGTAGTCAATTCCCTATTGCCAATTTCCGATATGTGTGTGTATGATTCAATACACAAAATTAGCCCTAAGTCGCTTCGGTCAAGTTTGATAAGCGGGATCGACTTCTTATCATTTCTTCCCAGTCGACAAGCGTACATAGACTTAGTGAGATCCAATATGGTAAAATTGGCTCGTTGTTCCCATGGGGTCACCTCTGGCTATTGAAATGTGGTAACATCAGTCATCACAAACATGACTAAAATACATTACTCAATATGATCTTTTAAGGACGAATTAGCCTTTTATCCCTTGGGGTCGAAGTTAATCAGTGGCATCTCGTATTGGAAGACATGTATCTCCCAAATGGCTGACATTAGTTACATGAACTTGGTCAATGTCAAAGTTAACCTTTATCTTGTAGGCTTCCATTTTTTTTAGGAGTTGGGGCTGAAAAATCCTCCTGACCGAATTTGACTGCAAAGATTGAATAAAGTGTTGTCATTCAGACATTTAATGAAATCCTTTCAAGTTTTGATTGGATAATTTCATAACATGGATATGCAGGCATGGATCCATAAAGATTTTTGTAAAAATCAAAATATATTTGGACTTAATTGGAATACCTTGTAAAAGATTACAATCAATACATAATAAACAATTTAACTCACCTGGC